TAGGGAATTGGATCTGTGCTCCAGTTCCCCGAATTAAGCCTGAATGCCTTCCACATCCCCCCCTCAGGCGCTGTATAATCCTCCGGGTTTAGCGCTTCCCCCTTGATTATAATAATAATAATAATCCAAATTTCTGATATGCTTGTTAATAAGACACAAACAGATTATTATACTGTCAGCATAATCTTCAGTGAGTGGATACTCAAACACATTGTGAAGAAGTTACAGTTTTTATAAGACATGTGAGCTTAATAGGAAAGGAAATGTGTTATTACAGTAGAGAGAGTTTCTGAAATTAAGTGACTAGCAAAAACAAAAGAATGAATAGTGAGGAACAGAATTTTTTTATAGTCAACACATTGAAAATTACAGATGCAGGGGGACTGGAAGAAAAGAAAAGAAAGACCATTTCTTTTAGCAGATTGTGCACAAAGGCTAGAGGGAATAAATGCATATATAAAGTGCACTTAGGCTTGCGATATGTGTGGAAAGGCAGGACACTAGGCGTTGGTCATGAAGATCCAGGAAAGACTGAGTTAGATTCACATTCATCTTTGAACTTCACATATAGAGCAGAATCTTAAAGAGCAACAATATAGGAATGATAGAAACAATAAGATTATGAGCAGAGAGGGAGGTCATAATATTCACGGCGAAGCCAGAATGGAAGAAGAGCACAAACAGTAGAATGTGGAAAAGTTTTGCAATATTCCCCATAATGGTTAACTAGTATTGGAAATAGGGAAGGGCCCACAGTAGCACCAAAACTTCTAGACAATCAGTTACTTAGAAGAGACAGTAACCCTGGCTGCTGTTGACTGCCTGTTGACGTGATCTGTCTTGTGGCTTTCTCTCTTTCTCTCGTCACATACAACTTGATAATTTTCTAGAAAGAACTGAAATGTTGTCTAAATTTCCCTCTACATATTGTGAGTAACTTACAAATAATATCAGGACAAGACCTGATAAAGCGCCAAACAGAGAGACGGTGTCTTAAAAATGCTCTTTATATACTATATTGACAGAAATGATGAATTCTCAGTTTTATCACCAGAACTGATTCTGGTATCTTAAAAAATAAATATTAAGAATCCTTTTCCAGGTATATTAAGTTTATAAACCTATTCCGTGCCTTATGGACTTCAGAAATACAATCCTATGCCATAAAAGGCGTCTAAAACTATCCCTCTCATTCTACAGACTTTATCTATCCTTTCACTACTCTTCCAACCATTTCTCCATTATGTGTGTGAAGCCTTAACGTACTAGGCACTTTACCTTTGGCTTCCTGTAGCACGTCTGTAGTTTCCATGGCTTTTCCATTTTTTCCTGGATATTTTTGCAGTAGCAGTGTCAATGCAGCCGTGTTGTGGCTCGACTAGCAGTATAGTGTCAGAACCATTGTGGCTGTCTACTCTGGAACCATTAGCAAATGGATGCTGCGTAGCCAACCTGCATGTCTTGGAGTGAAATAAATACCTCCTTACCGAATTAACTGACACTCAATACTGCAGCCACTCTCACTCTTTGTTGAGAATCATGACATATATTTAGAACAAAAGATGATATAAACACAAACACAGCAAAAGATGAATACACACATGAAATACAGATACTGTAAGGCACATACGCGTATATACAAAAATATCTTTTAATGGTGATGTTTTCCTGGTATGAGAAATTAATATATATATATATTATATATATATATATATATATATATATATATATATATATATAATATATATATATATATATATATATATTTTATATATTAAAAATAGTTTGTGTGTGGTGTGTAAATGAGTTGGCTTCTCCATTTAATTACTAACTGCACTGCTCAGCCATTTCTTGTAAATACTTAATTTTTCTCAAAGATTCTTATTCCACACAATATCTGATTTGTCTATATTTCTCTTTTTTTCCCATTTTGATTGAGGTCCTTATAATTTTCTTTAGTCCTAAATTATTTTTCAATCACTTCCCATCAGGCTATGGCTGTCGTTTGTTATCTGATTTTTGTGTGTTTGCGGTGTATATAATGTGTTTATTCTGTTTATGTTTGTTTTATGTTCAATGGCTTTTAACGTAGACGTTATTTCTTAATGTATTCACCATCAGCATGCCAGTAAATTACTGTGGATATATTTTTCCTTTGGGTTTTAATGGATTTCATGTCGCGCTCCTTATGTTT